ATCAAACCCGCCTATATAATTATTGAATAATTGATAAACATTCGTTTTGCAAGCTTCATAGATCTTGACTAACACTTCAATCAAACCCGTCTATATAATTATTGAATAATTGATAAACATTTGTTTTGCTTCATAGATCTTGACTAATACTTACTTCAATCAAACCCGCCTATAATAATAAACATTCATTTTAACACTTCAATCAAGCCCGCCTATATAATTCTTTGAATAATTGATAAAGTGCTTATTAAATATATTTTGTAAACAGCTTCATAGATCTTGACTTTAACACTTCCTTCAATACAAGCTATTCAATAATTGATGAAACATTCATTTGCAAAACTTAATAATTGATAAAAATTCACCAGTATATTTTACAAACTTGCTTTGGAAGCTTCATATGTCATCATACATCTTGTATTTAACAATTAATTCACAATCTCACAACCTATCATCAACTATTGAATTTTATTTTTTCGGGATTGCACAATAAATAAATTTATCCAATGAAATGTTGTAAACTGGTTGGTATTCCATATTTTGCACAACTTGAAAAAAGTTGGTATATAAAATTGGATTACTAGCAACCATCCAGGAGAAGTCATGCAATGATGGAACCCGAGTGTGTTTAATAATCATTCACTGGAAAAATATTTAAAAGATTGAGACTTAATTAATTATTATGTACTAGTGTAATTACTCTAATATTAATAATATTAACATTAATATATATATTGTTTAATTTTAAAAATACCAAAAATAATCAACATTCTACTTGTAGAATAATCTAAATATTATATTTTATATATAAATAATTGAATAAAAGGAGCACTTCCAATTAAAGCAATTTTTTTATTGATGTTATTATAATCTATTATGTTATAAATAAAAAAATTGATTTAAAGAACTGGAGGAGCTGATATCTTCAATTTCTCTCTGGCATACTCTACAAATTAATATTTATGTGAGAAGGAGAACATGAAAAATAAAGGTGTTAAAAACAGTCAATTGATCAATTGATTTGATTGATTGATTGATATCATACCTCATCAATAAGAACTGGCCAAGCTCCTAATTTATGAAATGTTAAAATATTCATTTAATGACACTAATAAATCTTTACAAATTTAGAGTTAACTAAAAAAAAGTCTTTGGTTAATTAATTACCCTCTGTATCATAATTATTTAAATCCTCATTGATTTGTCTGGCAAATTCCAGCAGCTAGAAAAAATAATACACAAATGAAATAATTAATTCCAAGAGTAAATTATTACCAGCATAGCACATAACACACACATACCAAATTCCAAGTGTCTTTTGAGATTGCTTTACCATGTTTTTCCTAATTCAAATAAATAAATTATTACAAGTGCACACATATTAAATAAAATAAAGGTTTAATAGATGGATGGATTTACAATATGAACCTTGACAAATTCTAACCAGATATCAAGAAGTGGCCAATGATCTCCCAATAATAATTTCCAGAATTCAGTTGCTACATCAAGGCCTAATATATTTAAGAAAGTAAGTAAGGATTTGGAAAATAGTCAAGAAATTATCTTTTTCAAAAAAAAAAAAAAAAAACACAAACACAATAATAGTCATACTCAACGATTTTTTATTTTCTCCTAATCCAAATTTAAAAGTAAATTGATAAATTTCTTTAAATTTACTATCATCATTCAGGGTTTGTCTAAGACTAGGTATGGCTGCTCGCATCTTTAAAAGTGTATCACATCTAAATCAGAAATTTTAATAATTAACAACATTTTCAAGAAAATAAAATTTAGAAAAATAGGATTTGTGTTAAAAGAACCTTAGTTTTGACCAACCCTCAATAAATCCTTCATATTTAAATTCACCGATTTTTTCTGCTTTAAGATGCCAAGCCATGACCAACATAACAACATCTTCAGGGTCAACTCCCAAATCATTACAATATTTTATTACTCCATCCACTGAAATTACTCCTTTTCTATCCCTATCATTGCCTTCTTCCCTATCTATAGAAATGGGTTGTAATATATATATGGCATGTTAACATTAGTATAATTTATGAAATCAACCAATCAAATTCATTAGCTGATTGATTAACTACAAACTAACCTATGTACTTGTTAAATACATCTTCAAGTTTTCTTAAATCTATTCCAGGACTTGAACTTTGAGATGTTGATAAGCCTCTCCAAGAGGTGGTGCTAGGTTGATTATTAAAATAATCGTCTACGGCTACTTCGACATTCCAATTGAATTCTTTTAATTTTTTTTGAGAAACTTTTTCACTAATTGTTTTATTATAATATCGAATTGAAAGTTAATAGACCAACTAATATACATGTATAAACTTGTGTTGTCATGGTCATTTTTATTATCAATATTTGATACCTTGCACTTGTAAAGGCCATAAATTGTCTGATTTTTTCCTTTTGTTGGGTTTTTGTGCTCTGGAAAAGTGAAGAAAGCTGGGATCAATAAAATATTATCGTAAACAACACGCTTTTAATGAAACTGGTAAAACCAAGTTCCTTACACACCATGTTTTAATTGTTTCCTTTTTTTATGTTTATGATTTTATATTATCAGGCTTGTATTTTTCTTTCTTTTAATGAAATGGATTAATAAATGAAATTTTGAAATTCAAATAAATTAACTTGAGAACAACGCAAATGTGTAACAATATCACATGTGCATTCGTGTGACTAACTATTATTTTTTTTTATTTTCAAGTGAACAATAAATTATGAGTCAACAATCTTTAATTAATGAATAGATGACAACAAAACAGAATTAATTAATTTAAT